AAGTGGGCCCAGTGCCCAAGGCTGATATTACAAATATGAATATTGAGGCCAGGGGCTCGTCTGCCTAAACAATCCATTCAAAATGTTCAGGGACGCTGGACCCGTTTTCCAGTGTCCAGCAGGTGGTGGTCCCCACCAATAGACTGGAGCACCTAGCTGATGGTGCTAGTGGTGTCTGCTCTTACCAGCACCGCTAGCATCGAATCGGGTTGTTTTGATTTTAAAAAAAAAACAAAAAAAAAAACGAAAGGTAAAAAGGGTCCGCCCGCGGCCCCACAGGCCGCTGACAGAAGGGTCACCGTTTGAGGCACTTGGGTAGCGAGCCTCTCCAGGGTGGCCCGGAAAATGACTCAATTTTTGGGATTTAGGGTCTCGCTCCACTACTCTAGAAACCAGCCATTTCTTGAGCTCAGCACCGCTCCACTAACTCTAGACGCGAGATCTGGAATTCGTGTTCTTGAGCTGTCAGTATCTACTCACGAAAATGGCAAGAATCCGTTGTCGCTCCACTACCTCATGAAACACACTCACGAAAACGATTTCGTGAGTTGTCAGAACGTCCTCTCCCGCGGCACTCTTGACGTTTGTAGTTGTCAGAACGTCCTCTCCCGATTGAAGAATTGTGAAGTTTCTGAACTCGATTACACAGGAAGTAGAGGTCTATCAGATGTGCGTTTGAGAGGAGGATTATTAGTGAACTAGCTTGACGAGAAAGGTGAATGAGCGAAGTAATACTACGGTCATTTCTGAGGGAGAAGCATTAAACAGGAAGGTCAGACTTCACAAGAGACAAATAGAGGAAGTAACGAGAGTAGGGGAGAACGGGTTCAAGTAAGGCCCAGAAAATAAGGAAGGAGTCGAATATTGAGGGGACAAAAGAGGGGAGAGGAAGGAATAGGAGAAGATAGATAGGTGGAAAAGAAAGGATAGTGATCATTGTGCTTGTGAGGTAGTTGTATCCCGCTACCTCTGAAAGCCACTCGGACACTGCATTATTTCTCTACCTCTCTCTTACTTTCTTTGATCTCTTCTCTCTCTCTCTCTCTCTCTCTCTCTCTCTCTCTCTCTCTCTCTCTCTCTCTCTCTCTCTCT